TGCTTTGCTGCGTGGTAGGGAAAAATTGCGGCACCAGCCTATTTGCTTTCGAATGGTGTTCGTTTCAAATCTATGTGTCGTCTAGAAGCATAGATATGGACGGAAATGTGAAGAGAATTAAATAAGAACTTCAGAGGGATTTGTTGGATGAAATTTGGCTGATACGGGGTCTAGAAAGGCCAAGGGAGTCAGCCCCGGTCACTTTGGGTCAGGCCAGGTCACATAGGTCACCTCTCGTCCGATGGGATCAGCCCGGGCCACAATTCTACTTTTGCCTCCACCACTACCCCCTACCCCTACCCCTACCACTACCCCTACCACTACCCCTACCCCTACCCCTACCACTACCCCTACCACTACCCCTACCCATACCACTACCCCTACCCCTACCACTACTCCTACCCATACTCCTACCCCTACCACTACCCTACCACTACCCCTACTACTACCCCTACCACTACTACTACCCATACTCCTACCCCTACCACTACCCCTACCACTACCCCTACTACTACCCCTACTACTACCCCTACTACTACCCCTACCGGCTACCACTACTACACCGCTGGGTCATATCAGGTCACAGAATAATTGGATCCAATCAGTACTAAAATATCAGACTTAAATTGTTCCCAGCCCTGCCCCTATTCGTGCCATTCTATTACGCTTAATGCTTAATCGTATTTGTCGGAAATGGCGCTTTGTGGCATATGTGGCGCATTGCGACAAACGCGGCGCATTTTCACCCGACGATTGAGCATGCACCCTTGCACCAAATTGTACCCTTATCGGGCCATATTTGACAAAACTGTGCGAGTTGCGGCAAAAATGGCGTGTTGTGACCAATGTGACGCCTCGCGGCAAACGCGGTGCATTTGTAAATTCCTATCACAAACTGTTGCCATTCAACGAAAATCAGCACATTCTCTCGCCACTTTTTATTCAAATTAAAACTTGCCGATCTGCCAATGCGAGGCACTCGCCACCGATCGGCATGCATTTAGTCCGCAAAGTTTGTCGACCCCGGCTCTCAATGAAGATCTACGAACCGATCAAAATTTCATTGGTGTTCTTCCAGCGCGCCCCACGCGCGAACCGTGTACCCCAGCGAGTCGAAACCTAGAAAAGGCGCTGACCCACTCTGTCACCTAGAAGGTGTGCAAATTTCAACCCCCTACGATATACCGTCTGCCCTGTAGGCCGGCTAAATTGAACCCACTACACGGCGTGGCGGACAAACAGACAGACAGACAGATGGATCCTGTTTAAATAGTAATATAGACAAGCGGCTGCGCCACTTGCTTTGCTGCGTGGTAGGAAACAATTGCGGCACCAGCCAATTTGCTTTCGAATGGTGTTCGATTCAAATCGATGTGTTGGCTAGAAGCATAGATATGGACGGAAATGTGAAGATAATTAAAAAAGAACTGTTCTGAGGGCTTCGTTGGATGAAAGTGGGGTGGTACGGGGTCAAGTCGGGTCAAAGGGGTCAGCCCCGGTCACTTTGGGTCAGGCCAGGTCACCTAGGTCACCTCTCGTCCGATGGGATCAGCCCGGGCCACTGTTCTACTTTTGCCTCCACCACTACCCCTACCCCTACCACTACCACTACCCCTACCACTACCCCTACCCCTACCACTACTCCTACCACTACCCCCTACCACTACCCCTACCACTACCCCTACCCCTACCCCTACCACTACCACTACCACTACCACTACCCCTACCCCTACCACTACTACTACCCATACTCCTACCCCTACCACTACCCCTACCCCTACTACTACCCCTACCACTACCACTACCACTACCCCTACTACTACCCCTACCACTACACCTACCCCTACCACTACTCCTACCACTACTCCTACCACTACCACTACCCTACCCCTACTCCTACCCCTACCTCTACCCTACCCCTACCACTACCCCTACCACTACCACTACCACTACCTACCACTGGGTCATGTCAGGTCACATAAAAATTTGATCAAATTTTTTTTTTTTAATCGGGCTTTAATAGTTATTCTATCCCTTCTCCTATTCGTGCCATTCCATTACGCTTAATCTTATTGGTCGGAAATGGCGCATTGTGACAAATGTTGCGCATTGCGGCAAATACGGCGCACTTTCACCCGGCGATTAAGCATGCATCTTGGCACCAAATTGTACCCTTATCGGACCATATTTGACAAAACTGTGCGATTTACGACGAAGATGGAGCCTTGTGACCAATGTGACGCATTGCGGCAAACGCGGTGCGTTTTTATACTTGTATCACAAACCCTTCCCATTGAACGAAAATCAACACATTCTCTCGCCACTATTTATTCAAATTAAAACTTGCCCATCCGCCAATGCGAGGCACTCGCCGCCGATCGGCATGCATTTAGCTCACAAAGTTTGTCGACCCCGGCTCTCAATGAAGATCTACGAACCGATCAAAATTCCATTGGCGTTCTTCCAGCGCGCCCCACGCGCGAACCATACACCCCAGCGAGCCGAAACCTAGAAAAGGCACTGACCCGTTCTGTCACCTATAAGGTGTGCAAATTTCAACCCCCTACGATATACCGTCTGCCCTGTAGGCCGGCTAAATTGAACCCACTACACGGCGTGGCGGACAAACAGACAGACGGATCCTGTTCAAATAGTAATATAGACAAGCGGCTGCGCCACTTGCTTTGCTGCGTGGTAGGGAAAAATTGCGGCACCAGCCTATTTGCTTTCGAATGGTGTTCGTTTCAAATCTATGTGTCGTCTAGAAGCATAGATATGGACGGAAATGTGAAGAGAATTAAATAAGAACTTCAGAGGGATTTGTTGGATGAAATTTGGCTGATACGGGGTCTAGAAAGGCCAAGGGAGTCAGCCCCGGTCACTTTGGGTCAGGCCAGGTCACATAGGTCACCTCTCGTCCGATGGGATCAGCCCGGGCCACAATTCTACTTTTGCCTCCACCACTACCCCCTACCCCTACCCCTACCACTACCCCTACCACTACCCCTACCCCTACCCCTACCACTACCCCTACCACTACCCCTACCCATACCACTACCCCTACCCCTACCACTACTCCTACCCATACTCCTACCCCTACCACTACCCTACCACTACCCCTACTACTACCCCTACCACTACTACTACCCATACTCCTACCCCTACCACTACCCCTACCACTACCCCTACTACTACCCCTACTACTACCCCTACTACTACCCCTACCGGCTACCACTACTACACCGCTGGGTCATATCAGGTCACAGAATAATTGGATCCAATCAGTACTAAAATATCAGACTTAAATTGTTCCCAGCCCTGCCCCTATTCGTGCCATTCTATTACGCTTAATGCTTAATCGTATTTGTCGGAAATGGCGCTTTGTGGCATATGTGGCGCATTGCGACAAACGCGGCGCATTTTCACCCGACGATTGAGCATGCACCCTTGCACCAAATTGTACCCTTATCGGGCCATATTTGACAAAACTGTGCGAGTTGCGGCAAAAATGGCGTGTTGTGACCAATGTGACGCCTCGCGGCAAACGCGGTGCATTTGTAAATTCCTATCACAAACTGTTGCCATTCAACGAAAATCAGCACATTCTCTCGCCACTTTTTATTCAAATTAAAACTTGCCGATCTGCCAATGCGAGGCACTCGCCACCGATCGGCATGCATTTAGTCCGCAAAGTTTGTCGACCCCGGCTCTCAATGAAGATCTACGAACCGATCAAAATTTCATTGGTGTTCTTCCAGCGCGCCCCACGCGCGAACCGTGTACCCCAGCGAGTCGAAACCTAGAAAAGGCGCTGACCCACTCTGTCACCTAGAAGGTGTGCAAATTTCAACCCCCTACGATATACCGTCTGCCCTGTAGGCCGGCTAAATTGAACCCACTACACGGCGTGGCGGACAAACAGACAGACAGACAGATGGATCCTGTTTAAATAGTAATATAGATGATAACAAATGATAACACATAATCAATTAACTCGCCATCGTCCGTAACATTCGTAATAAAACGTTCGGCAGTAATCGTGATCCATGATTGTAACAATTTAAGGTGTACAGAGGTCTATGGATGCATCTTCAAAACCTCTGCAACATTCATCACGTGACTATTGGCAACGCTTTTGTTCCGAAACTAACAACTGAAACCAATTCAATTCATTATATACATAGGTCACAAAAGCAGCGGCGAAGCATCTTTGATTTCCCACGCTATCGGCGTGGCTGCTGGTGGGGCGATCTAAGGGGACTTCTGCCAAAGTTCCGAATTGACATCGTCTCGTCAATGTGGACACCTACGTTTGTAGGAGTTTATCTCCCTTCATGGTGTGACCGCCTGTGATCGGTAATGATTAGCTATATACATTGGATAATTCAACAACCGATGATCGAAAGCATCCTGCATCACATTGCTCAACCGTGGCACTTTATGCCCATAGATGCTAATAATATGCTTGCAGTAGTATGTTGGGGTATAGTAAGAAGCTATTTGCGTGCTAGCTGAAGGTGCTAAGCGCTAAGGTGCTAACAAGTAGCACCTCCTGAGGGCTGTTTTTTACCCTAGCACCCTCAGTGTGGTAAAAATACACCCTCCAGGGTGCTATTTCTTTAGCACCCTTCGGGTCTAATTAAAAATGAGGTACTAATTAATGAGGTACTAGTGAGGTACTAATTAAAAAGCACCTTGTTAGCCCCATACAGGAACCATGGTGCAAGGATTTGTATGGTGCTAAGAATAAATAACTCAAATAGCACCCTCTTAGCCTGCTTAATTTAAGCCAGTGGGTGGTGCTCGTTTTTTACCATGTTGCTAAAGTGCATTTAGCTGCTTGGAGTTGCTAAACTTTTTTTTTACAGTATACTTTGATAAAAGTCCGACTACTTTTTCCTGTTGGTATTTAGGGTGAATGTTTGTGCAGAATGGATTATGGCTTATGCACATGGGCACTGCGGGGGGGGGGGGGTGGATCGGCCGGCGTCGCTGCTGACCTCTCGAGGGAGCGGGCGTTCTCCACGCCCATGTCTCCGAACACGGCGAGCCTGGGGCTCCAGTCGGCGCCGGCCGGCACGGCTATGAACGTCTTCAGGTCGGACCAGCCGTGCTCGCTGCCGACCACGTACTCTGTCCGGCACAGAAACACGGATACCATACTCAGCGCGTCCGCACACGGGCCGGACAGACACGCGGATACCATACCTACTCGGCTCGTCCGCACACGGGCCGGACAGGCTCATAAGCCGCGGCACGGCAATGCGTCGGCAGACAGAGAGACAGACAGACAGACAGACAGACAGACAGACAGACCGACAGACAGACACTGGTAGAAACGACACGTATGGGCACTGCGATACGATGACAGAAACAGACACTACATGGTTAGCGGTCAGTACCAAGTACCAACGTATCTCTGTAGTAGTTCGACCACTGCTACCTAGTAGGTACCGACTTGGTTGCTCAAGGAGCTCCACAAGTAACAAATCTGTTTTGGAACACCTACGTTGGCACAACCAGAACCCCTACACAGGTGGCCACTTGCATTCAAAACGTCTACTGCACTTAAAGTATGCCATGTTTCATAATCATGCAATTCTATTTCACATAGGAATTGGGACTAAACCAGCTCAGGTGTCTCCTTTCAATTCATCCGACCCAGTGCCTGGACCGCTCAGGGCCGGGCGGCTACTTGCCGTATTGGGCGCCGGGCGTGAGGCCGGTCAGGGTGGCGCGGTGCACCGTCTCGCTGCGGGAGCCCGTCTCGAACGGCGTGGAGATGCCGAAGGCCGTGCTGTTGAGGTTGCCGACGCCGAAGAGCGCCCTGCTCGCCACGGCGTCCTTGGTCATCCAGGTGACGGTCATGGCGGTTGGGTCATCTGCGGCGGAGGCCGGCCGCCCGCCGTCAGAGCCCGCTCTGCCGACCGGCAGCTCCGACAGCCATATCGGCATTGCGCTTACGTCGTTAGACGCTACTGATTCTTCACGAAGTATTGTCCTGGTACATTTAACACGCGCAGTAGAAGGGTTGCGAGTACGCCCAGTGGAGAGGGGGGGGGGGGGGGCGGATGACGCTAAGATCTCAGATCCCACGGAAGCTAGAAAGACAAAATTTGGAGGGTAGGTGGGGCCCTGGAGAACTCTGTTGTGTGTGAATTTCATGACCCTAGGTCAATATCTTCAAGGTCAAATGTGGTCAAATGTGCCATGTGAGCGACTTTTTTGCGTTTATGCGCCGATAACTCAAAGAGTTACCGGCCGACTTTCTTTTTCCTTTCACTTCCTATAGTTCTTAGTGAATTTAAAGTTAATTCAACAATAAATATGGCAGAAGCCTGCAAAGGCTAAGATGTCGCCGGCTGAAGCGGGATCGGCCGATGCGGGAAACGCGGCAATCACAATTTTGTGTTTACAAACTCATAACTCAAGTTGTTACCGGCCGATTTTCAAAATTATTTGACCATAAGATTGCCTGTACATTTCTTAGTCTTCTCACCAAATTTGGCGCGAATCTAATATAATCAGCGGTAAGGAGCGCGATGTAAAGACGGAACCGTCACGCCCCGGCACAGTCTACAATTCAGGCGGCGCGTAACGGCTGGCGCCGGCCGCCGCGCCGCCCGTTATGTTTGTTTGACTTTACACCGCTATTACTAGACAATTTGTGAACCGATTTTCTTATTTCTTGCACGAGAAGATCCGAAATTTAATTCTGGACAGGTAGCCAAAATTTCACATAAATGTTATGTTTGCGCCGCGAGTTATTGGTGAAAAACAGGAGGGGTGGGCGAAATCCGCCTCCCCTTCCACGGCGCCTGTTAACCCGCGCGGGGCTGGGGGGGGGGGTAAATTTTACCCCCCCTCGCGAATTTTTGCGATATCTCAAAAACGGCGGCGCGCAGCGCCGCCAAACTTTCAGTACCTTTTCTTACATCAATTTGACACGTTCCCTGAAAATTTGAGCGAAATCCGTCGGAAAATTTTTGAGAAATTGACGTTTTAGTGACGTCATGTTCGCCATTTTCGCCTCAAAAACGGCAAAAGTTCAAACGCCGCTAACATCTTCATTTTTAAAGGAATCAAGACGTAACAAAAAGGTTATACGTAACTTTACTTTGTCTATCAAATGGCTATCTCGGTTTTTTGAAAATTTTGGATTTTGGCCTAAATTTTTTCAAAAAACTGATTTTTTTGGGAAAATCATTATAAAATCCAAAATTTTGAGTCTATCAAAAAAACCGGAATATATGTCAGAGAAGTGGTCTATGTGCACCTACATACCAAATTTTAGAAGAATCGGTTCAAAAATGTGGGAGTTATTCAAAATTTTATGACGTCACGACACACAAAATTTTTGAAAAATGACTTTTTTGGAAGTTCTAGACCTCGTACGGAAACAAAAATAGCACCATTCGATTCGCCGTGAAAAACTGCATCAGATAGACACCTTTTTAGGCCTTAACAACCAACTTCAAAATTTGACCTCACTTGACCTGACCTTGACCTGACCTCGACCTGAAATTCATCCAGAGGTGGTCCATATCACTTATTGAGTGTGCCTATTGAATTCTATGAGTAAAATGACCCATAAAACATGTGTCGCACATGCCCTTTTCTATATTTTGTTTTTTGGTGACCTGACCTGACCTGACCTGACCTTGACCTTGACCTCTAAATGATATTGTATGCAACAAATATTGTCTTGGTAGCCTAAGAACACGTTTTGGGCGATCAGTCTCAGTCCATGACTCCATTCTTCGGCAACTACGGTGCAAGGCCGATACTGTAGAAACTTGCAATTTGTACCCTTGACCTGACCTTGACCTTGACCTCAAACTTTAAATTAAGTACATGTTTATAGTAGTTCGTGATGAGAGCTTTCGATTGGCGTTTGAATTTTCCAAATCGGACCATTAGTTCGGGAGATAACAGGGGGGGTAAAATTTACCCCCCCCCCAGCCCCGCGCGTTCGGCTGGAGACCCCAGCCCCGCGCGGGTTAATGCTGTTTTTGCACACAGACTTATGACTATATTTATGTTCCAAACATATAAAACGTGATGCGATTCAGAAAAGCAACCATTGTCAGGAGACTACCTATTCATCGCCGGGACGGCGAAAACTAAGGTAAATGTGTAGGGTGGGGTAACTTAAAACATATTTTGCGCCTTCGGCCTCCTGCTCCGTCGTAGCAAATTCCAGCTCAACCCTGTAGTAAAACTGTTTCAGTTGCGCAAATGTCACTTGCTTTCACCATGCAAAGCTCATTTTAAGACGAGCCGAGCATAGGTACCTTGAAAATGAAATGCATAGCCTCACTTCTCTTCCAAGCCACGGTGTGTTCAAATTGCCCCACCGTGGGGTAACTAATTTGAACATACTGCCTTTACTTGCCATAGGGGAAGTTGGGGCAATGCCGGAGTTGGGGCAAAGCCGAAATTCGAGATATTTCGAAAACCGTAAGACATGGATGCCACCTGTCAGTGATGCTCTGAAGCTTAAGTGACTACAATTATCGCATGTTTGTTACCAGTCGTCATTCGGAATACTTCGGCTGTGAGGGCGCCAAGAGCGTTTTCAAGGTATGCGTTCCTTGCACTACATGCGCCTTTGAAGCTGCATTTCTTACTCATTATGCTTCCGTTTGTCTGGCCAATTCGGTCAAGTAATCTTCAGCATGTCTTTGCATAAGTGTGCAGTGGCGCGGGAACTTCTTCCAGACTGGGGGGGCTGAACCATCATAGAGATCAACCTAGGGTACCCCCAAATCTAGTTTTCTCATCGGTTTTAGGCCACTTATTTTTCAGACCTTGGCCTTTTCAACGAAAAAAAAAGAAGAAAATATTTGCAAAAAAGTGAGATAGGTATTCCGTCTCAGCTGAGTGAAGAAACTACCGTTTTGGCAACCTGGAATAAAGGTTTTAAGCTGCCAAATGAGTTGCCGAGTCAGTAAAATAGGTAGATTTTTTCACTTACATGCTTTCTTTCTTTGTGACTCACAACCCCTAATTTGGGGAGGACAAGCTGCCCCAACGGTTCCTGGCCTCATAAAAAGATGTGAGGCACCGCCCCCACGGCCCCAGAGTTGTGAGGGCAAGCTTCCCCCACTGCCCTCTCCCCCGGTTCCCGCGCCCAAGATTACTTTCTCGCGCCTATGTATGAATCTATGAAATTGTGTTGGTAGATTTCCGATTTCGATTCCTCCAGCTGGGGGGGCTCAAATACATTACGAGCCCCCCCCAGCCGAAAAGTTGGAGGGGCTCAGCCCCCCCTAGCCCCCCCCGGTTCCCGCGCCACTGTAAGTGTGCTGCCTATTTGAAATTTATACGGCACGTTGAAAAGTTATGGGCCTGCAAATGAAAGTATGGCTGGCTGGGGTAATGCCGAAAACGTGCGATTACGCACGTGTTAAAAGCACGCTACGTGGACTTTACTGCTGTAGAATAGTAACGCGTATTTTTAGTCAAACAAATTACACTTTCAACCGACACAACGGCCTGTTACCTATAAGGAATGATTTACCTGGCATTTTCTTATCATATCACACAATTATAACTTCCAGTGTGCACCGCGTCCTCAAGCTCTTGAAACGTGTGTCAGCTTTGATGAATTCTGGATAAAGTTTGAAATAAAATGGCAAAACATCAATGTCGGCATTCCCCGTAGATCATTTCTCCCATTTTCGGCTTTCCCCGCAGTCCGGGGCAACGCCGAAAAAGTCACTTCACTGATATTTTTAGTTTGTGCGCTTAACGGTATGCGAATTCATCAAATGCGCCTGGTATGTTTGAAAGGCAAAAGACTGGCCTCTCGAATGACGCCAACAAGAATAGCGTATGTTGTCTACCTTGCGTGCTACGGGCGTCAGAAAAAAAGTCTTCGGCGTTCCCCCAACTTCCCCTACAAACGATAACTCGCCTGCACCGATGTTGTTTGACCCATAGACAAATAGGCATAACAATTATAAACATACCTAACCTTCATTTGAAAAAGCAGCACTAAAACAAAAATAACAGTTGCAGCGTATCAATATTGCACGCTGCACGCCGGTTAGCTGTGCATCGAAGTACCTAATTTCTCTTCAGTTAGCAGGACGTCTATTATTTCCGTTCGATAAAAAATATCCCAACCTTACTTCATCTGTTATAGTTGTTCCAATCAGAGCCTGGACATTCGGAGTTCCGATTCTGTCCAAAGTCCATTTCGGAATTGTATGTATGTATGTATGTATTAACATCTTGCAATCATCCATGAACACATGGCTATTATGATTCGCGCGTCAAAAATAATCGATGGGAACTGGGAACAGACACTCATGCACACATCTACATACAATCCGACACCTATTCACCGCCGTTTTGACGCTCGAGCAGGTGTTTACGGAGGTTCCGTGGGAAGAGTCTGGGCCCCATCTCACGGAGCGCCTGCGGTAGCGCGTTATACGCAGTGACAGCTGAGTACAGGAAGCGTCTGCTCCCCGACTCCGTGTGTATCGTGGGCCTGTCTAGCTGGTCCGCCTGTCTGGTTACTCGGCCGTGAACATCGCCCCGAGTCACCAGACTACCGTACAATGTCTCCGGCTGGCCATTGGCTAAAATTCGCTTTAACAGGGTCAGCGAATGGTACTGATGCAGATTCTTCGCTGTCAGCCACTCCAGGTCTTTCAGCACGTCACTGATATGATCGAACTTGCGACGGCCCGAAATAACACGCGCACCGTAATTCAGCAGTTTCTGCAGTCGTACCATTTGTGTGCTACCACATACACCGTACACACTGATGCAGTACCGTACCAACGAGACAACGAGCGCCTGCACAACAGTGGAGAGCGTGTCTCGTGGGAGCGCGTGCCTGCTGTGACTCAGTCCGCTGAGTAGGCCG